TGTGCACAACCTTGGAGCAACCCCCCCTTCCCAAAAAATTCCCAATTCTCCCTCTCTGGCAGAGCATGCAGGCCCCAGCAGGAGAGGAGGGATTCCAGCTGGAAACAGAAATATTTATTCCAGGGGTGTTTTATTCCATGAATCAATGCCCGTTTGTCAGGTGGGATGAATTGCAGAGGTTGGGCAGTTTCCCTCTCCAGCGTGGGGCCGTTGGCTCGGGGAGGAGAGGCCGAGTGGGGATCGATCTGCAGCTCACCACCAGCCTCTCTGCACCCTCCTTTTTATTTTTTCCTTATCCTCACCTTGTATTTTTTATCTTTTTCCTTCATTCCCCCTCTCTTCCCAGCTCTTTCTCACCACTCGTATCCATCGTGGCAGTGAAATATTCCTGGCATTCAGGGAATATTTCCCACCTGCGTGGCAGGAGGTTGAACAAAACAAAAATAAAAATCTCCCAGCCTCTCTTTTTTCCATGGAAAAACTCTTCTATTGGAATAGTTTATTGAGATTGAAGTATTGATCAGCCCTCCTGCTCCCCCCCCGGCTGGAGGTGGCGTTGCTCTCTTTGCAAGCCTATGTTTAGTTAGAAAATAGGGATTTTTTTAGTTAGAAAATGGATTTCATTTATTTGGGTTCTTTACAGCTGCGAGTGGTTTATGGCTTGGAGAAGAGGTATCTTAGCTTTATTTTTATGACAGTATAATTATACTTTAGAAATACACTTGATTACTGTGTGGAGCAAAATTGTTCCACTATATTGGCTCGGCCAATATTGCTATACAAACAACTTTTCAGTCAATTGAGCCTGGTAAAAAATCAATACTTTATAGCAATATTTCTAGGGAGAACTTGCTGAATCTAAATGTTTTTCCTGTTCTAAAAAGAAGGGATTTTATAGTTCTTTGACATATTATTCTGCCCCTACCTTTTGATCCGCTGTTTGCTTAATTAAGGAACGATAAAAATTCTCCTGTTAGATATGGCAAAACCAGTTAATTAGCTTTGCTTTTTGGTTGCTTGCATGTTCAAAAATATGTGAGAAAATAGAAAACAAGCCCAAAGTGTCTCTTGAACTTTGCAGCAGAAAGCAGGAATTCTTCCAGCGCTGCTCAGCTGGCAGAGCGTGCCCTGGTTTGGGTGAAGATTGTCAAGAAAAGGTAAAATCTGCTGCAGCAAAGCACCTGAGTGTGCTGCTCTCCTGTCGCCAGGTGCTGCAGGTACTTTTGTCTTCTGCTCCCATTGCCACTGCCCGTGGAGTATTTAAATCCAATTTTAATGCATTGTTTGAAACTCAGCTGCCCATTTTATGGTGGAGGATGCAGGATTTGAGCTCTTCCCAAACATCTGTGGGGCAGGACATCTCTGGATTTGCTTAAATTGCCTTTTTTTTTTCTCTCTCTCTCCCTATTTTTTTTTTTTTTTTAATAAATAGTTCATGGGTCAGTCCAAAAGACTTTTAAAGGTTCTGCTTTGTGCTGCATCTTTGGGCTCCATCAGAGCCTGCAGAGACTTCTCTGAGGAGATCTTTCCTTAGGTGAAGGATTTCCTTTGGAATGATTGGATGTGCTTTGCCAGCCAGTCTCAGGAGCAGCTTCATTAAATTATTCAGGCCTCAGATCCTTAGTTTTGTATATTTTGAACCTAAATATTACAAAGTACAAGTGGTTATCTCTGGCAAATAATTCCTCTGTCAGGTCTTCCTCACATGATGTGTCTAAAGCATCACTCTTTTCTTTATACAGAAGCAAAATGAAGGTTTTATTCTTGTTTTATTCTTATTCCATGTTTTTTAGTTTTTGTTTTTCAAGGAGAAAGGAGAGGTGAGATGTCCTAACTCTGTTTAGGGCAGGGCACAGCCTCCTGGGATTTATTTTACGGTGAGGTTTTGTAACTCCATGGGTTCTGTTGGAGTCTGCAGCAGCAGGAGCATAAAGGAAAAATAACCATAAAGCCCCAATGATGCCCTAATTAATTTGAGAGTTACCAGGATCTGGGAGAGAGGGAAGGAATGGGAACATCAGTTCCCATCTTAGCAAAATGCTGTGAGAGCAGAAGGCTTCACTTGGAAGTTGAGTAATTGGGAGAGAAGTGGCTGTGGCTGATGTCCCACTCCAAAAAATTGGATAGCCTGGAAAACAGGGAGAAATGAGGGAGCTTAATTTGCCTGAGCAATTTCCTGGAGCAGTTCTGCAGTGTGGGTGAACGTTCCAGCATCTGCCCTTCCCCTCATTCCGTCTCGCAGCCAACCTTGGGGTGCCCCATCAGCACACAGAATGGAAAGTGTGGGAGGCAGCTGGGATTGCTCCACAGCCTGGAGCCCACCCTGGGACAGAGCTGGGCATCCCCTGGCACTGCTGGGGCAGCTCTGCCAGCCCTGGAGCAGGTGAGGCCTCAGATTTAGATTTTATATTTTTCACATTCTGTGCTGCTTTAGAATGTGGGTCTGGGCTCCACATCAGGGGATGCTG